TACGTACGTTACGTTACTTACTTACGTAGTACGTACGTACTACGTACTACTAACTAATAACGTAAGTAAGTAACGTACGTACGACGTACGACGTACTACTCTCTCTCTCTCTCTCTCTCTCTCTCTCTCTCTCTCTCTCTCTCTCTCTCTCTCTCTCTCTCTCTCTCTCAATATTTTTTTTTTATTTGCTCTTTCTACCTTATGCTATAGCTCTTATTGGGGATATGAGATGAAAAGGAAAGGACTTATATATGATTTTGGCAGAAATAACATCATGTATTACCATTTAAAATGTAAGATCAAATAAGTGGCTCTATAGACGGGAAGAAATTCTATATGAGAAGACTCAATTAAATCTCGAATTTTATTGAGTAATTTTATTTCTAGTATAATAAATATATTTCTACATAATGTTGCACCTAAATTATTTGAAAAAATTGTTTAATCTTATTTTTAAAAAAAAAGTCTCAATTTCTGTCTATTTAATGTACAGGCACTGCCATGGTGCTCCCAAACTAGGGAAATTCCAAAAGGCAATGATCCTTTGCTCCCTTACCTGCTCCCATCTCCCAAAATTTTGGTTCAAAGACCTGACTAAATCCTGTTCTTAGTCATCAAGAATGCATGATTCTCAAGAAACAGCTCCAGAAAAAACATATGCATCTTATTGACAATATGCAACTTGGTTAACAGACTACATCGCACTTCAAGTTTTGTCATTTGTGACACTGACACATATACACATGCATGTCCACAGAAGGTAGCAATTCCTCACCAAGATGTGACCTCCTCCAGAGCAAACAATACCCCCCCGACCGGAGCTCTAAAAGCAGCAGCAACACCAGCAGCGCACCCACAGGTGACCTTCCAAAATAACCACAATAAGTACTATTTAGGCAAGAAAATGATACGCAGAAAAATCATTCAACTAATGGCAATATTATTACAAGATGTAGAAGATTAGTAATCATTCAAGAATGTAAAATATCTGATTCCCAGAAAATATTGAAACTAATACATGACGAGCAAACAACCAAATCACAATACATTAGCTTCACTTTTCTAATAACAAATCATCATTATCAGTATTTTCCTTTGGATAAGCCATAATAAACCATAAGAGGGTAAGCATTGGAAAATGTAATACCTCCACACTTTCCATCTTTTCTGTTTATATTCACTAAGGAATACCTCACTTTTGCCCCCAACATTTGTAATAACTCCAAAGATGCCACCTTTGCTTTACATTTATTGTTATTGCTCCCAGGCTTCAGTTTTCTTTCAAGTTTCAATGATACCAATTCTTTAATATTTCACAATTGAGTTCCAAAAATTCCCTGATTAATAATAAATTTTAATTTTTCAAATTTTTCTCACTCATCATCGCCTTTCTCTTCAATGGCAGAAATCATAAATCCCATCTCTCCTTTATGGCAAATATCATTGGTGTTCCTCTCTGATCTAACTCAATAACTCTTTTAAGTCTTCTCTCTCTACTAAACCAAAATACCATAATTCCTCTTTCGCTCTTTACCAAATTAAACAAAGTCCCTCACTCCCTTTTTCTCTCACTACCCAAATCCTAGTCCAAATGGCTTACATCGATTCTGCTGCTTATGCAAAACAATATTAGATGTTGTTGAGGAACTCCATTGTTAAATCAAAGAATCTCTAGGATTAACTCAAAGCAACGCCTAAGATCTTATGGTAACTTTTGATGCATATAGTACATTATTTTTCTTTCTTTTGAAGGAGTTGTGAATTAGATTTCTGTATATTTACATTATTCAAAATCCTTCTAATGAAAACTAACACCATTAGATATAAATTAGGATACTGTGCATGTCAAAAGATAATTGAAGAATCTCAAAGTGATGTGCTCATATGATTACATAAAAAGCTTCAAATTAGAGCAGCTATGCTACTCTCGCAGTATTACAATGAAAATCTATGCAAGAATGCATGTAGGGTACAGTAGATAGAAACAACCTGCCCTGTTCAAATTGTCTGGCAATCCTTGTGAAGTACAGAGAAGGGGATAGAAATGCATCAATGGAATCAGCAAACAACCAACAGAAGGACCAAATAAAAATTCTCTGACTCAATCATCTACTTTTTCTAATTAAATCCAAAAAACAAGTGAAAACAGCATGATTTAATAGCCATGCATTTTTCATTTTCAGAATGCCCAGTTGGAATAGTGTAAGAATTAAAACAAAAACCTAAAAAGTTTAAACAAAAACCTAAAAATTAACGCAAAGAGTTCCACTAAGTTTCACTGGGGTATTAAACCGGAACTGGTATAGAGAAGCTTTAGAAAACATTAACTCCGTGACTTACTTAGCTTTTTGTCCAGTACATATGGCATCTGATCTGATAAATATTGAAAGAAAGTCACTTAAATACATTGTGGTGCTTCAAACCAAGCTGGTCTAGAGAATTTCTAGTAAACAGATATAAAACTCTTCTCATATTTTGAACTCCTTCGCATGCTATTCAGCCAAGAGGCAACAGAAATAGATCATTTCATGTAAATGTGTTACTCCTGCTAAGTGTCAAAATGGAAGGACAAACTAAATCCATAACTTTCATAGAATCTGTCCAATCAAGGTAAAACTTTGCAAATATGAGAGCGAACTAGAGGTAGTGTTCTAATACATGGCAAGTTGAGCTTGGGACTCATTGAATTGCTTTGGGTCAAGGCCGAGTTGGCCAACGTGCAATAAAACTTTGCCAATTCCCTTAATAATCAACCAAATGTTACTGAGTTGACACAGATTTAGTCTGTAGTGAACCATGGTCCAAATCGTTTGTTTTAAAACTTGGATATAGGATTTGAGGGACATGGTGGAACTCAAACCATCACTAACCCATACGATCAGAGAGTAATATGATATCTCCCAAGTCATAAAGTAACTTCAATAATCATAACCCTATGATGCTCCACGGCTCCACCTCAATATACTTATCAAAATAATGTATTTTGCAACATTAGAACAAAAATTACATAGGAAAAGAGCCTAGGCTTAATTGGTTAGAGCTTGACGATTTGCAAGGCCCCTAGGCTCAATTCCTACCAAGCGTGGGGGGCCCTCTCCCCACTGACTCACCCAAAAAAAAAGAACAAACATTACATGTATTCCAATAATGTATTCAAGATAAGCTCATATATATATATATATATATATATATATATATATATATATATAGTATACGAGACACTTAATTAACGTTATCTATAATAATAATTATATATACGTAGTTAGTTTTAAGTTAAAGGTAGGCGGTACGTACGGACGACGTCC